TAGTGTGCCTTGTTTACCACGTTTGGGCATGAGTCATCACAATGGAATGCAGGGCATCAACCAATAGGCATGCAGCTTTCCTCTATTCTTCTTGCTGATTGGCTGTTGGGATTTAACTTGATTAACACCTGCACAGAGCATTCCACCTGCACAGAGCATTTCTTGCTGATTGGCTGTTGGGGATTTAACTTGATTTAACACCTGCACAGAGCATTTCCATACTGACAGTATGTCTGTATTCAAGTGTTTTGGTAGGTATTTCAAGCTTTCCTGCTCCAGCATTGGAATGCGGGGCATGGACGTTTTTTTTTATTTTGAAAATCAACAGTTTGCATTATGCAATTAAAAATCCTAACCAATAAAGTAGGGAATAGCTATCCAACTGTTGTTTTAGTTGTATTTTACTTCATATTATAGTTATATCAATGTAAATCATTGTTTTCCCTTGTGTTTCTCATTCTTTCCCTGCCATGTCGTAAAATGTGGTGAACCCATCGCTGTATTTGCTCCAAAGCAAATATTGGCCTTTCTAGTTTGCTATCAGATTTCTTTACCAGGGAATGTTAAAGTATGAACTGTAGATGTTACAAAAAATCACCCTGTATTACCAGCAGCAGAAATAAAAATGTGTCAAATCTTCTCTTGATCCATGAATAAATCACCTGAATCCTCTCTCAGCACCGTACACCTTTACTGTCTCCAGTGTACTGTTTCAGTGAAAACATTTTTACCTGAGTGTCCTTCCTTGATAAACACATCAAAGACTTGTTTTGACACCTCAACTCATCTCTGTCACAAACCAACACCCGAAAGTAACTCAACATTTTTAGAAATCCTTTGACATCTTTCATCTGGCTGATCCGCAGACAATCGAATCGGTTGATGTCAGGAGATGAGCATCCCTCCCAAGACGGAAGGACTGCTGTAAGGTATTGATTGGAATATGAGAGTGGAGCTTTTAAGTTCCAAACAGCAAGACAAACGGGACAGACCATTAACAGTGGCAGGGGTGCCATTTGTGTGAAACATGGTCCTGGGAACCATAAATGGTGCCTAATTGCACTGACCCTGTTTTGTGTAGCACACAGAAAATTTTCAAAACGTTTTCTATTCATCTTCACATGAAAGACGTATGTAATTGCTCTCCGCAGATGGACCTACATAATTGCTGACCTAAAAAATCAAAGTCTTGGACATTTGTCAACGTACTTTGAGGTGTCAGTAAATGATTTCATGGGATTTGCTTCCTTGATTAAAATTCATGAGCGAGGCACAGTGTGGCCAAAGTTATTGACCCACTCCCTAAGTGACTTATCAATATTTGCTCACATGCCAACCTAGTAGAACACACCAAAAAGACACTTATCATTTTCAAAGAGTTCAAGGAATTTGTACGTAACTCTATACAACTTTACATGACAAAACAGAGATTATGGTACTGCAGGGAATTTTCACTCATTTCATTGCAGCTATAATGTTACCTGTGCCCTGTCAATCCATGGAACTATAGAAGCATCAACATGTAACTTGTTGTCTCAAAAATATACAAGATCATTACAGTATTAGACAATAGTGTTGAAGTAGAACTTCTCTGCAGATGTTGAGTCTGACTCTTTTATATTCATAGTAGGAAGTGCTTCACCCTGAAGTATTGCACACAGAGGAACAGAAACTAGCTCTGCACGTCTTGGTGAGAAGGCTCAAGGGTACAGGAAGGCAGGGTGCCAGAAGCGCTAGCCAGTCACCATTTTATATAACCAGGGGATTTCTTGAACACGACATTCTGACTATTCTCCAAATTCAAATTGAATTCCAGCTCTTTCCAACATCTATTCTTGGAACATCATGCCATGACGAATCAAAAATGCTTGTGCGCAGCTACATTTCGAAAGCAAGGGTGCCAACAGACGTCTGCAGGGCTTGACACAGAGCCAAGAGACATCACAATACATCAAATACAGATTCTGAATTATTTTTTCTCAGTGCACGTCACATGGCTTGACCCCAATATTTTTTGCAGTCTATTCTGGGTCGACAACAGAAGTCTACTACTTTTGAAAGCATTTGCAGTGCTTTGATCGAAACTTTGTCTCCAACTGTATCAACTTGGGGGTTCAATGCAATATTGAGCTTGTTTCAATTTCAACCAGTACCAAAATGCTACCTGAAAGTAGCATTGGTTGCTTGCCAAGAAGATGCCAAACAGCAAAGAATTAACAATCAGGAAATTTTTGAAGGCTGAAAACCAGATAGGTGAGAAAACCAACCTTGTCCTTCTTGAGGTAATCTATACAGAATTGCGGACAATCAGCCATTAAATTAATGTGTATGTCATACAATGTATTTCCACCAGTTTATATTCAGACAGTATAAATGGCATATCACTTCTGGGTTGTTCTCTGATGGCTTATTAATAATCTTCACATTGCCAAACTTTCAAGTTTTTTCTTGAATCTGTGGGTGTGAGAACCCTAGACATTTTGCCATGGTGCTGACCTGCCTTCCACGGAGATTCTGAAGGCTGAAAACCAGATATGAAACTGACCTTGTCCTTGTCAAGGTCGTCTATAAGGAATGCGCAGGTGTCCTGCCACTTGGCCGTAGCCAGGGTCTGCTGAGTCACCTCCTTCTGTTCCCCCAACTTCAGCACACACCACCTGGTCTCCTCCATAAATACTATAATGGGGAAATGAATTGTTGCACGATATATAAAAGCAACAGTTACTCAATGACAAGCAACTGGCCACTCCAGTTGCTAGAGTACTAATAGCTTGACTAGAATAGTGTTATAGAATGAACATGTCCATTTTCCTCAGACCATGAAATTTGATATCTTATCAACGGAATAAAACTGTGTTGTAAAATCTGTATCAGACAAGTGTCAACTGAATTGTTTCTTTTGACATGGTGGTAATACTTAGTGTCTTCACAGCAGTGCAAAAATTCTTTCCTTATCGTCTGCACAATATACTAGTCATTAAAGTTTCACCATGTAAGTGGTACTTTGCTACACACTAATAGATGATGTTAACAGCTCATTTTGTGAAGAACCGCATTTTTGAGACCCCAGGCAGTGCATTTTTCTAATTAAGTCCACAACTCACTGATGGCCAAAACATTAGCCTATAGGCAAATCCAGAAATGGAATAGAGGGAAGCAGCAATTAACAGGTTAAAATTGGATTTGTCCAAGATTCCGCACTAAGATGTCCATTTTTTGTTTGTTTTTAAAATCCAGATACGATCTCCAACGAAGTTTTCATTTTTTGTAATTTCTCTTTGGTCCCCTTGTTGCTACATGATTCTTTTCATTTTTGAAAAAAGAAAAAGTTTTAGAAAAGAAGGTGATGACGAACCTTGAGCAAACTCATTCAGCTTGGGAGGGACGCTGCTCAAGGTCACTGCAAGGACACCCTTGGCTGAAATAAAAGAATGAAATTAGATTATGTCATTTTTCTGTCAGCAAAAAGTACACTGCTCAACTATACTTGTTGAGCAAGTAATTAAATCTGGAAGTGGACAGAGATTTATTAGTTTTATCAACTTGGAGATGTTCCATTTGTGACATGATGCAACTCGCCACCAAAGGATTGTAAAATTAAGTTCTTTTAATTAATATATATGATAAACAGGCCTGCATCTTAGACTGTTGTAGGAGCTACCCAGATGTTTTGAAGATTAAAATCAATCATTTTTCATTCCTTCAGGAAGTAATGAGATGATAAATTCTTTAATTAACACAAAAAAATGACAGTACAATCTTTATTATTACTAGTATGTATATGTTACAAAATGCAATTGCCTTCCAACAGTAAAAATTTTGTATTTCCCCTAGGAAATTGAGATACTTTTGTCTTATCATGGAGTTTGGACAAGTACATCTGGTAAAATTACAGTGAGAAACTCTTTAAACACATCTTTACAAGACAGAGATATCTCTTCTTCCAAGTCTTCCTTTGTCAGTCCCAGTGAGATAGAGACCATGAACAACTATCATATCTATGATTGTGATTTAATATTCACCATTTTGTACAACGACAAAACAAAGTGTGCCAAAAATGAAAGAAATACAACACAACTGGCAAAGGAAGACAAGGTGGGTGACACAGTCGCCTTCACACAGCAAAGAAAACAAAACAACAGATTTCATGCACTTGATTTCATGACTACATGTAGTGTCACTTAGTGTATTCAAGGAAAGAAACCACCAAATAACTAGAGCAGACTTTGTAGTAAATGTAGAAAAACACAAATACGAAAATCACACCATTTACAAACAAAATGTACCATGTACGTGACCAGCACATCAGCAGAACATCTCTTTTAATGAAATAATTAGGTCTTATTTGCTTTTTTAAGGATGGCATTCCATCTATAGTTTTCAAATGTTGCATCATAAAGATATCGTCTGCAACAGGCAAAATTCTGATGCAAAAACCTTGAAAAAACAGGGTCTTGCACAGGTGTAGGATGCTCTGCCCGAAATGCTTAATATACGACTACGGCAACATAAAAAGATGTGAGATTTACCGGCCAAAACCCCATCTTCACATGTCTGTAAGAACTAAAAAGATTTCATCCATCTCTGATTATAGTCTGTAGTACACTCTGTTCTCACACAGGTTTATGAAAGATTTAGAGTGGCCCAGTCAGTGATTTGATTAGAAATGGCATTGGGGTGAGCAGACGTCAAGACCAATCTTCCTGTTTGTTCCAGCTGACACAGGAAATGAACTACATTGTAGTCTATAAAAATCATTATAATGGTAGTCTATGACTACTTCTGCCACTTCTCTGAAGGTTTGAGTAAATACAAATTGATGATAAGAGTATGTACATGTACGTATAGATAATTGGTATCAAATTCTGTACAAGGTATTGCCAATTGAAGACATGTTTGAATATTTCATCACCTCGAAAGTGTAGAATTGATTCTACCATCTATAGATTTGAAGCTAAACCTAGTTTTTAAGTTACAATAGAGGGCATGGAATGAAATGTAATTGAATCTTGCAGATTCAGCCTCCAGGCTGCAAAAAGTTTTCAATTCGTCAGTGAACCAGTTATAATCCTCATCATATGTAGGAAGTAACAATTTGAATTGGGAGGGAAAGATATGAAATAAGAATTGACAAGATCATGATTATGGGATTATGGGAATTTGGTCTGCCATGCACATGATTGTGTGTTACATGAGATAGGTGAAGTTGAAAGGATGCCAATTGGTCCTTTTCATTGCAAAGCATGGAATTGTGTATTTGGAACGATGGCAAATATAATTTTTCTTTCAAAAGTAGTGATGGAAGAAAGTCCTAATATTTGACCTTGGTGGTCCACATCCTATCTTGCACATTGATCAAGGACAAAACATTGTAAGGGTGGAACTAGGGGTGACTTTTGAAAACACCACAAAAACATTTAATACAACAAATAGATACCTTGGTTTTCTGCTGGACTGATCATGCTATCATGATATGGAAATGTATGTTCTGAAACAATGAAGATGAATTAAAATTGAACAGAAAACAAATCATATTTTGAAGCCATGCACAACAACATGCGAGTGCACTTCAAAATGGACTTTGTGATACAATACTGGAATTCTCCAAGCCTGAGTATGTATGACGTACAATGCACAGAAATGAGAAAACCATGTAAACAAACTAAATATATTTCATCCATACCATGGTGTGCAGTGAAATATAATGATGCCTGCTGATTATCAGATGTTTACTTGCTAAGATCTTTTTATAGACCCTGGTTGTCATTGATATCATCTGTTTGGTAGCGTTGATACTGAGGAGAACAGCCTTTTGCTAAAGCATGTAAGTAGTATAACATAGGTCCAAACTGCAAAATATTATTATCAAAATCTAGGTCATCAGAATTGATGGCAATGCAGCGCTCACACACATCTACTGCTATATGCTGGATAGGGCACATTTGTCATTATGATTGAAGTCAGAAGTAAGCCAGTTCTCAGCAGTCTTTCCCTGTCCTAGAGGTCTTAAATATTCAGTGTGTTCCAACTTGAAGTGGTTAGTATATGAAGCTCTAACCCTCCGCACATGTACACACTATATTCCCTGTCCTTGGTGCTGACTGCCTTCCCTTTACATTACCATATAATATTCAGCAGACCACATCAGACAATGACTTTTTCTGTATGATCCAGTTTGTTGTTCAAAATAGGAAAAAAATGAGAATTTTTACTTCAAATATTCAGGTCACATTTTGAAAGACTGGCTTCTTGACTGAAAAATGCATAGATAGTCAATGTTAGTCATCTTATGGATGCATGGCCACAGGTGATGCTGTTAAAGATGAAGTTCTCTTTTAAGTTGCCTGATGAAAATGGATGCCACACGGTCTACCATCTTCCACGCATCGCAAACTCCCTCAGAAGCTGTCTGGCCTTCAATCATCGCGGCTTTACTTTACTATAGAAGAGATAAAAGGTTGTGCCAAGTTATCATAGCTTGGGCACACACAAAAAGAAGTTTTCAGGTAAAAGCTATTACCTTTCTGAATAATATACAGCCTTGCATAACCACAAACAGTGACCCTCAGCTTTGAACCTTTCCGTCTATGGATGAGGATTATCTACGTGCACTGGTTTGTTGCGAGAGGTCACAATATGTCAGAAATACCAAATTACCTGCTATAAAGCTTTTAAGCTCTTGAAAGTGCTTCACACATAGAGGAGGCAGAACGCATAGCCTTTCATATAGCCAGTGGCAGTACATTTGAGGAATAATGACTGTGTTTGCTTTTAAGTTATCAAAGTCTTTAAAAAGTCGTGCTGCATACAAATAGAAAGCTTCATCCCTATGAAAATTTTTACTTCTTGACAGTATTCAAGCTGTCCTACATTTGTACATGTACCTGTTTTTTACTACTTTTTTGTAACTCATTCTTATCTCTACAGCTGCAATAGCTCTCAACTTGCAGAGTAGGCTAATGTCTGGCACTGTTTCAACTGCAAAAGAGTCATCCAAACATCCATCTTGCATGCAAAATTGCCATCATCCTTACAATGAAGATTAATCCACATAGGAACAAGTGGCTGTGAAGAGTCCCACAGCTACTTTAGAAAATGCTTGAAACGCAGTGCCTGGCACATTCAATGCTGTGGAATCTCCCAGGATAACACTTCTAAGTTTAAAAACAGAGTAGAATCTCCCTGCAAGGTGCCATGAAAATGAGCTCTTAAGCTGCAAAAATGTGATGACAGCACTTTACTGTCAATTTCATGGTCATTTCTGACTCAAAGGGTCTGATCCATTTTTATGATTTTTCTACCACCTTTACTGTTAGCTTTTCCAAAGCTTGTGTTGCTTTGCTGGGGTCCCATCTTGACAATAAAGAAACAGTTTATACTTTAAACAGTAAATTCACAAGACATTTATGACTTGTAAAGCATTTTTCTATAGTTAATTATGACAGCTTTAAAGCACTGCAGCAGCATGAGAAAAATGGTTACACATAGGATGAATGCTTTAAATGGTTGCATAGGATATATTGGAGTTTTCTTTCACACAACCAGTAATATTTCTCACATGCTTATATTTCAATGATTATCAGACTTTTTCCTCAGAGCTTCTGACTGGAGTGCTACTTCTTGCTGCTATAAATAGACGATGTTAGTGGTGCCTTTGTACCAATCAAACACAATCCCAAATGTGGCTAAGTTTTGTGTCCCTTCAAAAGCTCTGAGAAAGGTGTCATTGAAAAGTTAGCAGGTGAGAGATATAGTAAGGTTGTGTAAAAGACAACTCCAATACATTCTACCAAGTTGAACCTAATGAAATTAGTTTACGAAATATGTTTGCATGTGTTTCCTCATCAGATGTTACTACTAGTGCTTTCGATGATGCCTCATGTTGCAGCCTAGATATTATATCATAAAGATATTGTAGGAACAAACCTTTGGAGTCTCTACGTGACAGCTCTGGCCTGAACTCTTGGTCAGAATCTGGAGATGCCAACTTGATTTCCATCTTACCAGGGTCCACTAATGCTGTAGGAGAAAAAAGGGTCATGTCCTTCAATCCTAGATTCAGTGGTCTCAACCCAGTTGCTACAAGAAATTCTGCACAAAATAGTGTTTAAAAATTACATGTAGGTAAAGTACTGTACATGTATACTCAATCATTGCCAAGGGATTGTTATGAAGTGTCTCGTGACCTTGAATTTGAGCTTTCATGAAATACAATACAGCTCTAATGAAGTCATACTTCTCTACTACAAGTATGATTGATTCCGAAGATTGATTTCATATAAGTCTGATAAAACAAGGACAGAAAAAGCATTTAACATCTTAAGCATTTTCCCTGCTGCCTAATCCAATTAATCAATAGGGAATTGATAGCTAAATGGATACTTCTGTATGCTAAAGCTTATGTTCATATGACATTTCATATAAGGAATTACCTTATGATTGTAAATCCTGGTATAGGTCATTGTCATTAAATGCACCTAAATAGCTTATAATAGAATGTGTTTTGAATATTAAAAAACTTCAGAATGAATTTACACATAAAATGTCAGATGAAGCAATGCACATGTAACAATAAATAATCGTTGCCAGTGTCTGTATCTGTATAGCCAGTATAACTGCCCTTTGGCATAACATACCCACTTCACAGACCTGTGGCATGGCAGCAGCTGGTTATATTACACTGAAATACCTGTTACGCCTAACCTTTGAACATCTGTTTGCCTTGTTTAAAGCTATCTAGCCATGATGCCCCTACTGTACTTGGTGGCAGTGGCTATATCTGTGTCGATCTGCTTAAAACCATGCACTGATCATACTGTGTGAAGTCAGACACTTGTGATGATTGACAAGAACTGAGACAAACACTAGCCACCACTGTACATTGCCTCCTACACAAACCGCTTTCAACCGCTCTTACCAATAGCTATCCAGGTTACAATATTCTTAACAACCAATATCCCCTACGCCCTACATTTTACATGTCAAACAACTTGTTTCTATGTCCTCCCATCTGGTCATTCCATCTACATGTAATGTTTACTGAACATACCCTTTGAAACATGACATCTGGAAATACTATTATATAATATAACTTTATTATTAACTTTTGATTTTGATATCAATTTTATTTGCTTAGATTTAATTTCAATTTAGTCAAGTTAAATGTATCTATGTGAATGTTTTTGTGATAGCCACCGTATTGTAATCGTCACAATTCAGAATAATCAAAAATATAAAAAAGACTCTCACAGGTGATGAGTCCGTCCATGAGTAGAGAGTGCAGCCATGTCTTCAGCACAGGAACATCCATCAGTTTCACTGCCTTCATCATCCGGATGGAGAACCACACCTCTGGTCTGGAAGGAAAACTCCATTGTTGTTGTTATAATTGTTGTTGTTGTTTTGTTATCCTAAACTGAGGAAAAGTCTGTACTAACAATTGTTGTTGTAGTTGTTGTAACAGTTGTCTTATTATCCTCAACTTAGACAAAGCCTGTTGCTTTTCTTCTAGTAACCTGGGCCACACCAATTTGATTTGTTGGTTCTCGGATTATTTCAGAAAAATATGAAGCGACAGGGCAAAAAAAGTAAAAATGGGTCTAGGCATCCTATGATAGCCCCAAATGATCACAGAAGCTATGAAGTCTACAAACCAGGGCAGTTTATAAATCAAACAATGAATTTTTCTGCACCGTGTTGAGTGGGAAAACTGTAACAACTAGGAACACAAGAACTTTCTTTAACTGTTGGGGCCAAATTATGAGCATTTTGCAGTTTATTTTTCAGAAAAAACATAAATGAAGCAAGCAAATCCGAAAACAACTGATTCAATTGATGTGGCCTTATGGTGCAATACAGCTTTAGCCTGGTTGCTGTCCTCTGTAGATTACTGTCAACACCCTTGCCACTGCTCCGTGCTTAGCCAGTGACAAGGCAGCTAGTGGTAAACTAATGGAGGACAGCAACCAGGCTAACGTGGCCTTGCTACAGATCACACTTATTGCATACCACACTGGGTCACCCTTCACTTCTTGATATTGAGTTAAGGGTTCTTCTACATACATAGGTCTTGAGGCACAAGCCTGAAGCTCCCTCACTAAGAACTGTTGAGCACAGGCGCACTGGTTCCACTATATCCAAAGTTTCACAACACATATATATAACATTAATATCTAGTCCCCAGGGCACACAATTACACTTGATAAGGTACACATACTGGACATAGAGAAGGACTACTTTGTAAGGGGCGTGAAGGAGGCAATTTACATCAGGGCCCATCAACCCTTTCTAAACCATGATGGTGGGAGATTCCGTCTTCCTGCCACTTTTGATGCGCTCCTGACGTCATCACGCTTCCGACTTCCGGAGAGTCAGTGATTGCATCACACATCTGACGAAGGTTGACGAGATTGACCAAAAATTTATGGTGAGTTCCCTTCTTGTGTTGGAACTAAGCTTGAACTTTTCAACTATGGATTCTACCAACACAGATGAGCTTTCATTCGAAGAACTGTTGATATTGTTTTGCTTCAAATTCATGACTTTGTCGTAATGTCTGCATTGACAAACACTCTCTAGTATAGCTGGGTCAGGATATCACTTTTTTTATCTGCTTCTGAAACGTCAAGACTCTCACATTCATATCTATTGATCTGTAGAACATTCAGAAATTGGTAGCATTTCAGGCTACAGGAAATTGGACTTATCCATCATGTTCATAGCTTAGATCTTGGTGAGCCAATCAACAGTTAATATTCTCAAAAGTGAAGCAATCAATTATGCCAACTGACAACACTTTGTAAACTCTGTAGTGTCAAAATCCAGCAGAAGAGTGTGATATAATTTGCATGGTACAGGATATCAAGAAGTAAGCAACGTATTGCCTTTTGTTGGGGCAGGCTCATGAGCAAAATACAGATGAAGCAACAGGAAAATCTTGGAAAGATGATTGGATCCTCTTTGTTTCTGCCACAGGACAGACTGTTCATTGTTTGGCTATTTCATGTAGTGTGATATGTACTATAAAACTACAAATTTCTAATCAATTGAAATAACAGAGTTGCATTATCACTCAGTAAAAAAGGCAAATCTTATTAAAAGTGTTCTTTCGCTTTCCTTGGTGCTGAAATATGAGCTGTTATGAGAAAAGAGAACGGATTCAACAAAAAGTACTTTTGTATGGTCTTCTACAACTAAAAATCTAATAAAGCTAAATACATGTATGAATAAAGTCACCCTACATACAGAACATATATGTATGTGGCAAACTATGTACAGAATGTATGTCAGTGGTAACAATAAAGGTTGTTATATGATAAAGGATGAGCATCTTAGTGATGTTCCATGCTTTAGAAAGCATCAGAATCTTTGTGATGTTCAAACTAAAGTGAATTTTGTTTTGAAATAATTTCATCCAACTACTAGTGATGTACATGTATTGGTCATTACTTCTTGGCAAATCTATCCAGTTTTGACTAGTACATACTTCTCTATGAAGCAGATGGTTGCTCTGGCGATGTGAGGAAACTTGGTCACATTGTCCATGTGCAGCACAAACTGCATCTTTCCAGAGATGTTCAGCTTCTCCACAGCTACATCGATGTTGGCACCCATCCTGAAGCAAAGGGCATGGAGAAATGTCAGTCATTTCTTATGGGGGGGGGCGTATGATTGTATCAACAGCACACTCACTCAGATTTGAACTGCATGAAAAGTGGAATTTACCAAAGTGAAATTTACCAATGATAACAAGGTTGAGTCTAGTAATGGTTGGTTTAGCTCATAACCTATCGCATCTGTAGATTCCCTGTGTGTATCAACTTATTGGTGAATCACATTTTTTGAGGAGTGAGCCCTGCTATCTAACTCAAGGGGTTGTTTTAGTTATGTCCCAGCTAAGTCTGACATTTCAATTTTGGAATAGTTGCCTACACCATAACTACACATCTTAGCATGAACTTAGACTTTTGTCATAATAACTATACCTTGTACATGACAGGTAACTCTTATGCCTAAAACATTACCAGACTGGCATTTATGTTCCTTCATGTTCATTGGTAAATCCCACTTTTCATTCAATGGAAAGAGTCTGTGCATATAATGATTTAAACATATAAGTGTTGCTCTCACACTTTCCATCTTCAAAGACTCATCTCCATGCGGTTTTGCCACAGGCAAACATTCATCTTGCCACAGCAAGAACTTTTTGAAACTTAGCGAGAACATTCATCAACTAGAATCTAATCCCCGCTTCCCGTGTTGCCTTGTTCCTGTGGCTGTGTTTAATTCCTGATGTCTAGTGATAACACTAATGATGATTCATGTAGGAAACAACAGGAAATCACCGTCTGGGAACATGATAAAGGTTCAGATGATCTGATACAGGATTTTGACGCCTAAAATGTTACCAATTTTTACAGTGTCACCAATATTTACACTATTTGAATTTATTGTTATACTGTAGTTGCACTTGATTGATATGTAGTGCTCACAACTTTTGTTTATTTAGAAGTGACAGCTAGAGTGATATACGACACCTGAATGTAGTGTTTGAGCAGACATGGTCCCAGAAGATTTTTGTAATTAACTGTCTAATCAGTCTAAATCAAACGAGTTTTACAAGGAGGGTCTCCCGTGTATCCTGCAAGGTAATTTGTCCCAGACACGAGTCTGGGTGGTGATTTATGCTGTTGAAAGTGTTTGTCAGGCCCAATTGACGTCAGCACATTTCACTCCTTTGCCAAATCACCAGCAGAAGGTTGCAAGATCTAAACCCAAGAAAATCCCCAGATGGCCAATTTGAACAGTCAAAGTAGTGCCTGAAATATAGTGTTTCAAACCAGGATGTGTCTGCTCAGTTTATAAAGGCTGGAAGTAGTTATTTGTGTGTGCATTGTGCTACAGAGGGAAAAAATATTTTTCATGCTTACATATGGTAAACATCTTGGTGATAATGTAGCAGTGAGCCGTTATACAAAAATAAAATGTTTTTGTTCCTTTTCTAACAATTAACATGAAGTGTTGTGATTCTTTAACTTAACAGAAAGTGCCTCGATTGATTCTCAAATAATCATACTGTTATGAAAAATCCATTCAGAAAGGTTAGCAAGACACTTATTGTTAGTTACATTATGAATCAAATTTGAACTATAATTTTCAACACTTATGTACTGGATTTACTGAAATTTTCAACTGTTCAACCCACATGGTTTAGGTACCACACAACTTGGTGAGCAGCAGATCATATGAGTTGCAGAAAGTTTGCTACATGTATCTTCATATGACAAATGATGTCACTGAAGCAGTGGACTGCTCATTCCTTGACAAAGACCAGAGTGGAACAGTAAAAAATTTGTCTGTTGGAAATTACAGTCATTACAGTTCAAATATGTATTAATTAATAATTTTCATGATGTAAGAATCTTGCTAACCTTTTTCTAAAGATTTTCATTCGACTGTAGTTGAACAGTTGAAAACACTTCTGTTGGAAACTACTGTTAGTAACAGTACATTTTTTTTCATAATGACTTCTACCAACACAGGTGAACTTTCAAGCTACATTATTCTTACATTTTGCCCCCCAATCTTGCTGTGTAGATCATCTTGAAGTCGGCGCAGCACAGCCCCACATCAGCCTCCAGAACCAGCTGGTAGTCGCTCACTTTAGCCATGTCCAGCGGGGGACTTGTGATGTTCTCCGGAGTCGCCACACGAGGGTTGGTCATCATGTCCGAGTACTCGTATGCTTTGACCAGGTGGAAGTGCGGTGTCTGATCTCCAAGGGTGAAACACGTCAACTCAATGCTGTCTACAGCCAGTATAAACAATACATTGTTAGTCAGTGAGGAAATGACAAAATTGTTTATTAGAATTTTCCATATGTTACAACAGAGGGGGAGGCAAAACTGGTGATTGCCCTTACTAGTTTTCTCACCCTGAAAGACACTAAAATGAAAGTATAGTACTGAATGTCAGAAAGCTGTATAATATACCATATAGCAATGCTAGTAATGGATTATAGATCAACCAAACTTTTGTTTGACATTTTAGCTGCAATCAGGATGATGAAACAAGAAAGAAAAAGAAATTTCATTGGATTACTTTGAGACTTAATTGAATTGCTTTCAGATTCAGCCTGATTATATAATAAAGATTATTGTCAGCATCAGTGTAGATGCAATAGATCCTTGGCAACGTAAAAATGAGTTTAAAAGATTCTCATATATCATTGGATTGATATTAGATCACAAAGGTTAGGAATAAGATGTCAGTCAATGAATTATTACCTAGTACGCATATACAATTATATTTTTCCTTTAGCCACATTGATTGGGCCTTATACCATTTTAACGGGGAATAGAAGGCCAGAACACAAAATATACTGGTAGATGCTTGAAAATATATCATTCCTTGGCTATCCAAGTCAGACATAACTAGATGTTTCAGTACTCTGACTCTAGCAGATAACAAATGACACCAATGGAGTGTCCATGTCGATGAACTCAAGGCAATTCACAGCAAAAAAAAGCAACAACAGCATTATAATTCCAAAGGGAAAGCAGTAAAATCAAGAAAGCATTGCTGTGGGCTACAAGGACCTTATTCAGAACATGTATACTCATAGAGAACCAGATTTGTCTTTTTAACAACCTCGACCTTATCAGAGAGTTACCAGTTTGAATGTATTATCTCTGGTTTCTGAACGTACATTCTATGATAGGACTAAATCACTTGTTATGTAATAGACAATATTCTGACAGAGTACAACATGTATAAGGCCACACCAATTTAATTTCTTGGTTAACAGATTCACCCGCTTCATATTGTTCTGATATGCAAATTAAAATAGAAATTCAGAATCAACTGCAAAATGCTTATATTTTGCCCTGAACAGTTGAAAACAGTCCTTTTCATCCTAGTTGTTACAGTTATTCCATCTTTCAATGCAATGATATCATTAAAAGTTCAAAATTCATTGTTTAAATTTTGAACCAGCCTGGTGTGTTGACTTCATGGCTCCTATCGTACCATTTTAGGCTATACTAGGATGCCTAGGCCTGTTTTTATTTTTTATTTTTTTTGCCCGCCCGCTCCATTAATTTACTAGAAAAATCTGTTAACCAAGAAATTAGATTGGTGTGGCCTAATAAATTATTTATATATTGCCAATTTGTGTTAGTTTTACTGGCAGTTGACAGTAAGCCAGTACAAGTACAAAGAATGTGTTTGCTGGCTGCATTGTCATTCCTCGCAAGTCCGTACTTGGCAGTTTTGCAGAGACATAACTGATGATGGAGCTTTATATGTCTCCTGTCTTCTTCACTTGGCAGTTCCTCAAGCTGACCTTTAACAGACAAATGCTGTCTCTGTGAAATATCTCGGCACCTCTACAGCTTCCTGCCATTGCTGGGTGAGAGCCAAAACAGTGTGTCAAGCTCTCAGCCTGTCCGGTGCCTTTCTTTTCTATGGTAATAAGACATAACTTTGCCACACAGGCACCTAGTTTGATTAGTTACACTCCGCTTGTGGTATATCGAATGGTCTACCAGAAAGATGGAAAAAAATGAAAAGTGCTAAAAATGTATTTGAATGATAGTTGATGGCTTGTACAGCTGTACAAGTAGAAAATCAGGGCTTTTTGAGGAAATTCTTGTCAAATGTTTTCATTTTTTGTGCAAATAACTCTTACTAATTTGGTATTAGCAAGGTAACTATTCATTCGTCTTGTTTTGGTAATTCTAAGAAACGACACATGTTACAGGGCTGATAAATCTTGGCTGTTGCATATTCGTTATAACAGAAAAAGATCAGATCTTTGTTTACACCATTATGCACATTTACTGCTCAGTAATGGTAAGCTCATATGGCAGATACTGCAGGTGAGAAACTGCATCCTTGAAGTTAACCGGCAAAGATAAATGGAGGTGCTAACAGACGCTATCAGGAAGATAACAGGTGCAGCAAAGACAAATTATTTCCTCCTTTTCCTGATACCATCATATACTATGTTTGCAGACAAGAGCATATGAGGATGCTGTGCTCTCTTTACCTTTTGAAGTTCAAAATTGCACCAGATGTAAGGTTTTTTTTTCGAAATATACAAGCCTAGAATTATACTATTTGTGAAATTGTGACAGATTTTACAGAAGTTGATTTAGCTCACCTCTCTAGATTCATTCTAGTTTTAAAAAATAGTTTTGATCAACTCAACTACCCTCAAGTAAGGAACAAAAATGTGGCTGCCGCACCATATGGCACATGTAATATAGACAGTAAATTAAAAGATTCTGTTGAGTGGTGTGGAAAATGTAGCTCATGTACAGATGGGCCAGGAAGTTCTAGAAGTTCTGAAGCTGCAACCTGACATTTACTTTAGAATTTCTAGAGGGTCTCTAACTACAGTAGAAAGTTGAAGAGTCAACATTTGAATGCAAAATAATGTAGCTGCTTTCCTCCATGCTGTTTTTGATAATACTTAGTCACTGTCTTATACCTTTGACCTACTACCATACAAATAGAAAAGTCTTGACAGTGCTGTCCCTTAATGACATATCATAGATCTTGATATATCAGATTCAGCACAAACTCTTGGGAAATGAGGGCATTTATTTTGGGTCGATACACAATTACACGGATGAACTGGTATATTTAAGCTAATTAGCAATGTCACACATGTTGGCCTCATCTGTTTCTGACAGACAAGAAAAATGCAATTTCAAGGCAGCTAAACAAAAATATTTTTGATAAGGAAATCTGTCTGATATTAACATTTACAGTCATTTCTTAGCACATTTTCATTATCATTTCATACTTCAAGTGTAAGAAATGGACAAATCGAGTTCACATTCCATTTTAAAAATGATTAAAGATGATGGAATATTTTTATCTTAGGACCATTTCGGACCAAAAATCTATACAGGGATAGATAGACACATAATTGCCCTGTCCTTAGTGCTGAAACGGTAACAGTTGTTACCTACTTTTACACACATTCAAAAGACACTTATTACAGTGCAATATCAATTATATAAGGATTCAGAAAAGTCTGCTATCAAGTAATGAAATGTCCTGAAACCTGAGCTTAGACAAATCAACTGACAAATTATTTAAAGTAATGATTACCAAAAAGATGGCAGGTAGAGATAGCAAAAATTCATTCTGAGCTTTGTAATTAATAAAAAATATGGTTTCAGGAATTCAAGTTAATATGTGAAGTTGGGAAAGAAAGATTACAATGTTGCATTTGAACCATTCTGTAAGGACATGTAAGAAGAATAGGTTTTGGGTGCCTACTGTGAATAACTTTTCAGCAATGATACATTACCTAGTTTTAAACTTCAAATGGAAACATCTTACTTCCTTAAACCCCACACTGTTTGTTGTAGGTACATCTATCAGATGGTAACAAAGTGAAAGGCTGGATTCTTCCTTATCAGGACTACCAAGCATCTCTAACGTAAAGGGAACTTCATGATTTGCATCCCTCAATTCCAAGTTCATTGTAACGTTGCTGACAACATCAGACCTGTCACTCATACAAACAGATTGAGTGCTCAGATTATTCCCAATTTATAACTCAAGCCTCTTTCAGCTTCAGTGTAAGTACCTTTTATAGAGATAAGATGTTTTGATATGCTGAAAATGTCCATCATTGCGAGAAGAGGCAATTTTTCACATCAACACCTCCAGGCCTTTCAGGCGATGATTTGATCTCCCCACACACACTTCAATTCCTGCAGGCATTGTACTTCAGAAGGAAAGCAAGGAAAAGAGATCAACTTCAATTTACCTTCTTGGTGTTCTTCTAGAGCACCACATGTAATTCACTTTGTTCTCTTGGTAGCGAAATTTCACGGTCTGAGGAAAATGGACACGTTCACGGAAATTCACAGTGGCAGGAGAGGGAGAAGGCAGCAAAAGCAATTTGACTATCGAAGTGGTAAGCATAGAAGTGACTGAGAAAACTTACAGTGAACATAAAAGTACCGTGAAAAAACAAGGAATTACAGTATAATTTACACCCTTGGTATGTACAACTAGAGTATAGCAGAGTGTTGGATTCATCATCTCCATATGATTACAGTTTTGTGCACAACCTATGGCGAGAACTGTAATAACTGCATTCTTTGTTTCAGTTAGTCATTGAAAATTGCCTTCTAATTGACACTTTGTGCATTTAGTGTTGATTGTATAGCTCCTCTGTTCAGAAGGCTGCTGGATGGTATGGTCATTATAGGAACAACTAATGGGTGCTTAGTGTCATAGGAATGAAAACAAATCTACAGTGAGTGTCACTGGCATACAGAAGAAAAATTTGAGACTATGCATGATGTACAAAATGATAAATGGCTTTTATTTTGACACATTTTGACAGAGAGACAAAAAGTTAAAGGTGGTTCGATAGTCTTTTTGAGGCTGTATGGGCAGTAGGTTGTTGAACCACTTGGTCTAGTTCACAGAATTGGAAGGTGGAGCCCAACCATCTCCATACACTACCTTCTACAATCCCAACCAAAGTCAGGTACCCATTTTACACCTGGGTGAAGTGAGGAAAGTCGTGCAAAGTGCCTTTCCCAAGGGCACAACGTCTTGCCAGAATCAAACAGGCAACCTGTCAATCTCATGTCTGCTAGCCTAACCACTCAGCCATTCAGTGCCACTACGGTCACATGCAATTAGACAATAAACATCAAAAACATATCAGAGATCTTATGACTTAGCCTGTTCTCACCACATCAAGTATTATGGCAGTATTGTTGCTGTAGGCCATCGGGTAGGCTCAAAGGTCAAGATAATGGCAGTGAGTAATGTTCAGAACATGTGCAGTGATGAGACCCAAAGGATGAATCTGACGATAGGCCCTTAACTTTATTGTCATTTATGTTAGTCATAACCAGAGACTGCTTGTATGTCATACATGAATTTGCAGTTCCAAAGTCTCCCGATGGAACTATGATATGGTAAGAAGCTTTCCCTTCAAATGCTTGGTTCTGCTTTGTCATAAAGTAAATACAAAATCATACTTTGTTTTTTGTTTTCTTTTGTATGACTGGAAAACCACCTAAAACCACCACTTTTGTACAGTAAGTACAATCTGCGTATTACTGGACCGTAAGGTTTGAACCACTCACACTGCATGGGAAGGATCCCTAGTAGTATCTAGCATAGGAAAAGATTACATGACATTTGGCGGTGAAAGGTCAGTATCCAAGATTCTCATCAGCAATTACAAAGTAACAGTTCTGTTACAAGTTTCCTATAGACTGTCTACTTGAACACAATTTTAACCATCAAAAATTCTGTCTGCTTCAAACCATGTTCCCTTCCTCAAAATATCAGGCTACTGCAGCTGACATCAACATGTGCTCTGTGTCTGTTTTGCTGCTAAGCTACTAGGTATTATGTAATGCAGTCCCCATCAAATCAATTTTCTTTCGCCTCCAAGGACCGAGTTTTACCGGTATTCTTGACCCTGAAACCATGATGTGTCTTTGCACACTTTGACAGATGAATATTGTCCTATCATAATTACCCGTGTTCTCCTTTGCGACTATCGAGCGGAGGGGGTGACCTGACCTCAATAACCACAGTGCGCAGCACGATACATCCTGTTTAGATGGTCGCGGCAGATTGCTATTCCCACGCATTCATGACCACGACCGGTTATCTCTTGTATCAAGATACAGTCATTCCAGGCTCATCATTCACTTCTTCTTCTTCTCTATAATGCCCAACATCACGTTAGTGATGACACTGGCATGTCGTAGTGCTCTGCTGCCTTCGTCAGACATGTTCTGGCGAACCTGTTTATTTTCCAAGCCGTAATCCCATCTCATTAGTCCATAATCCGTAGCCTGGGTCGGGAATCCTTAAGGGCACTGTAAAACCGCACTGTTCAGTGACTGTTGGAGGCACGTGACACAAAGGTGTCCACGGTAGGTGCCTCTACTACTTCGCAGCTAAGCCTGTTCCAGTCCTTCACTGTTCTTGGGAGGAAGGACCCTCCTCTGTACTGTGTCCTTGTGTGAATAAGACGGAACTGTTTGTTGTGGGTTCTACGTTGTCGTGGAGGGAGAGGAACCAATTTGTTCTTGATAATTGGACACCAAAGAAGCTTAACCAGGAATGTACAATGTGGACAGAGCATGTCTCTGAATGGTCTTTTGGAGGCAAGCACTGGGGAAATTAAAGATGAAATATTGTCCCTTTTGCTATGAAATTATTCTGCAGCACTGTGGAGGAGTTGTATATATATTAGCATATTTGTCATTATAAAGTGCCACTGAGGTACAAAGAAAATCATCCTTTTGTTGGCAACTAATGGGTAACGTCAGGTAAATTGGTAATGAACCTGGCCTTATGAGAGCAGCTACAGAATGAATACAAAGAAAATCCAAGTTCTGAATCTTTCCCAGAGCAGAAACTTTTGATTCCCAGGGCAGAAAATTTTATTATGGATTGCTTGAAGCTTGTATAATATAATTATTAGTTCCCTGCATGAGAGTTCTGTAATACAATAAAAGTCAACATACATGTACACATAGGCCTGGAGGTTTGTAGGACAAACATGATGATATGTCTTAGAGGGTCTGCATGGGGGGATTCAGCTGACAATGCTTAATGGTAATTTTAGGCAGGCCAGCAACACTTAGTGGTAAATTCAGCCAGGCTGGAAACTTATTTTTAATGGTAAATCTAGTTGTCTTGTATTATATAGGCTTTGGACATGACTTCATCGGAATGTTCTTTACTTTGTATTCATGAAGGGGTCTGACAATTGTGTTCGACTACACAATACAAAGAATTTTTTTAATAAGGCTGAATTCAAGATCATACAAATAAACAGCTACATGGAATTACAGCAAGCATGCTTCACACAGAATTTCTCGACAAGAATTAATGTGGAATTCAAGAGGATAGCTAATATAAAAAGGCTTGCAGGCTCTCTGTGAGGGCAGGGCGAGAATTATCTGCTGTTGGCATTATTAAACTTTTAATACGTATATAATACACCACAACTGACGTTATATAGACCAATAAAAATTGAGGTCAGCAAAACCAGCAAAGTGCATGTGATAGACTCCTCCCCTACGGTGATAGCCTTCTGTCATTGTTAATAGACAAGAGGTAATGACCTGTACTCAACCATGCTACCCGGGTCTTTTTGCTGGCTCAAATCGCATTGATTGGCCGATGAATATCAGTAGACTGGCGGGGCATGCGCTCTTCTCAGATTGAGACAAATAGCCAATTGGCCTGGATTCAGTGCAAGGCCTTATTCGTGGAGAAAGCATATTAATACTGTAAAAGTCATTTTTGGCAGTAGGTTATATCCATCAATCAGTGAAACGTCACCTACTTATTGCTGCACTAGCCCATTACAACTTACTGCACCAATTGCTTGACTACCACAATGTAAATAGCCATAAATCATATCTATTTGAAAGTTATCATCATCACCTGAAATTTATAAAGGCACCGAATTACATAAGAGATGATAAGTTACGTAAGAAAAAAATTTTGGCAAAATGATTCTGAAACATCGAATATAATAGAAATTACCTTAAAGTTAGATTACTTGACATTCTTCCTCCCTTAATTCAAGCAATTATGAAAGTTATGCAATTTAACCTGTAAGTGAATATGCCATTATCCAAAATAAAGGCTGCAGTACTGTACAATTTCAAATGTAATGTTACTTAGAGCTTGTGCTTTTGATGGAGGAAGGGATATCACGTGGCTTGCAAGATTCGTACGGAATTACCGTAACAGTAACGGTTACAGCCCATGTTCCAACGTTAACACCTCCATGTTCAGACAACTTAACATATGTTCCTGATCATTTTAAATAAAACTACTAGTGTCTATACAGACATTCTAGAGGCTGTAAGGTTAGTCATGGCTCAAAATATCCCCTGCACAATCATGCAGTTGCTGCTGGTTAAATTGGAGCTGTGTACATTTCTGATGTCTACCTGCAACAGTACTATATTTAGTAAGCTGCTCCCGTTCATAAACTGGGGTACCACGAAAGTTTCCAGTAGGATACACTTCCCCAATTATGAATTTTGCAGGTAAAACTTGACAATGTCTAGTGTAGGTAATTTTCAGTGTTACCTGCACCAGTGCATGTATGCTGAAAATAAAATATTTTTAAGTCCTTAGTTAGAGTTGTCAGGCCTCGAAATTATTGTTCCTATTGTACCAGCACTGTCCAAAAATAAATTTCAATTGTTCTGAAGTAAAGATGAACTGTCTCAACCTGTTTTTTTTTTGGGGGGGGTGTTGAAGTCGTACCCAAGTGCGCTATAATTGTAATGTAGACAGGAAATTTGGGGCGACTTTTCTGGATCCAAAAGCTGGGACGTGTGCCTGATAAACAAAAGAAGGGCTGACATTCTGAAGTTGATTATTTTTCTATTGTCCCAAAAATGTCCCAAAGTGTCTGTTTAGTTGTCACAGCCTAAATTCCAGTGGTCAGTGGCCATTGGACCACCTTTAATTTCGAGCCCTGGTTGTGGTAAAACTCACCGAGAAAGCCTGGTTTCATCTCGTTTAGCATGGGGTCCAGATGGAGCTTCAGCTTAGCAAAGATGGATGGAGCACTGAACACCCACCTGTTAACAAGAGAAAGAAATAAGTGTCAGCAGGTAACCTCCATTAACATTTTTCTGCCAACTTACAAATATCCACCACTTAGAAAGTTTCAGAAGGCCTGGCAAACCTCTGAATCATAAATTTAGTGTCAGCAGGTAACCTCCATTAACATTTTTCTGCCAACTTACAAATATCCACCAGTTAGAAAGTATCAGAAGGCCTGGCAAACCTCTGAATCATTAATTTAGTGCATACGCAAGCAGTAGCAAATCTGCATTGCACTAGAAGCTACTGAAAAAGCATCATGCTTTAAGTCATTTGAAGATGACAAATTAAAGAAGAAGAAGAAAACAAACTGTGTTTGAGAGATCTCTTAAATGCAGCACCCCCAGGTACATTGTATGCACAGTTATAATGCAGGAGCACAATTTACCTATGGGGCGTTGCAGAGGATACAGTATTCTGTAATAAGTTCCTGACACAATATCATATAACTATCAAGTAGGGTTAGATTAGTATAATTAGTATCTCCATATTGTTATACAGTGTATATGAAAGTAGACCAGATTCTTAGTACAGTTAGTAGAACTGTTAAATATTTTTAGCATCACCAACTATGTAATAAATATGTATGTTAGCATCACCAACTCTCTATTTTGCCATAATGCTGTACCCGCTACATCTGTTGTGCAATAAAGTTCTTCTTCTTCTCTTCAGATACATATTTCAGGGTGGTGAATGTATGCGACATGCTGGAACTATGTTTAACTTATTTTAGTAGATGTAATCATTTGGTATCAACATCAACAAGCCTTTATAAGATACAAGGCAAACTTGGAAGGAAATGCTCCTGAATCAGAATCTTAAAAAATCACTATGGAAATAGCAAAGAAAAAAATTGCCGTCTGTGTGGATCAATATTACCAGACAGCCAGTCAATGAAAGGTGTCTGCAAACCATCTCCATGCCCTCTGAGCAAGTTTACAGAAAGGTCAGTGGTCGAAGAGTCTATACTGCATGTACCACTGCACACCAATCAATCATGTTCTCCTGAAAACTTGTGTCACATGGCCGAGTGGCTAATGCGAGCGGACACAAGATCAAAAGGTCACGGGTTCGATTTCTTGCATTCCTGGCCGGACGTTGTGACCTTGGGAAAGACACTTTACATGACTTTTCTCACTCTACCCAGGTGTAAAATGGGTACTACATGACTTCAGTAGGGGAGGTAAAAGGTGGTAAAAGGAGAGGGATGGGCTCTACATGTACCTTCCAAATACCATATTCTCTAGACACAGTAGACTAACAACCTCTTGCCCCTACTGCCTGAAAAACGTCCTGGGACTATGTTTACATTGATTTTTTTAACTCCTAAAAACTTAACATAGAAATCCATAACAGTTTTTGAATGTTGCATGGGGAGCTTTCTACAGAAGCCAAAGTGTCCCAATAGAGATTTCTGAGACTGTTGAGCTGTACCTATAGAGATTTGACAATCATCAGATTCTGTTATATTTCAAGACACGAGTTGGAATGATATGTAACTAAATATACATTAAACAGCAACTCTGGGCAATTACGTGTTACATTATTATCTATGGGTTTGTAGAAGTTCCACCTTTTCTTGTTGCTAGCCATATAATAAGTAGATACTATGAGGGAGTTGACAGGATTATTACTTGAGTTAGCAGCTCTCCTAGTTACTCACTGATGGGCTTTATGTAAAAGGTTTCCTAAAGCTGGCAAATCCTGAAAATTTAGTCCCTTATCACTTAATGCCAGATGTGACCACACTCTTATCTTTACATCTGTTACCAGGTACAATTTTAAAAGAGTCAACAATTTGACAAAGTCATCACAACATGCTTATTACAAGGAGGTCCTCCTACCTAAGAGCACTCTAGAGAACTCATAACATATTGTAACAAATTGAAGGTTCTATCACACCATGCAGAGGGACACTTGAACAATATGTCTAGGTGTGTGTGGATTTTCCTTAACTATATTTGTCTGTCACCACCAATGAAGTGTAAAAAAAATAATAGCAATGGTTTCTCAACAGTTTATACCTTCTAAATTATAAGTGGTGCAGGTGAAATTTGCCTGGTGCGGGTAATTTTCAATGTTCAACCTGCACAAGTGCAGGTTTGCAGAAGAAAAGTATCTGGAGCCCTGCTTACGTAACAAGTCGTTACTCTGCTGCCACAGTGGTGATTTGTGCGCCAGCCAAGGAAATGTCCCACCAGGCCTTGTCTGAAGTACAACTCTCGTGCGTCACCAGCACTTTGCACACAGACTACACGGAACCAGTGCTTAGAATGATATTGGCCATCTGTTTGGTACAACAGTCTTGTCAGTTTGGCTTTGAGTCATCAGTATTTCACAAAAGACAGGCTGAGTCACCCAGCAAAACTTTTATTCCCTGCCAAGTATTCAAGTATACTGACTCTGACTGTAAAGAGACTATATCTATGTAACAATTATAAGATTTTTGAAAACAAAAAGAATGCACAACAAAATTAGAGTGTCATTGCATAAACAGAGTCGAGATTTCAAAATGAAAACCAAGAAAAACAAAATGACTTTGCCTTTAGAGCATTGTCAGGCACAAAACTGTTAAACACCCATCTGTCATTCTTGCCCACTGATTGCAAGTTGCAAAGAGAGAATTACTACGGCAGAAATCCTGCGTAAGTGAGATAAATGGAAAGCTTTGAGCTTCATGTATTCCCTGTCAGTGGCTAGTCCTCTGTGCTAACAAAGCAGCAGTGAGTTTTTCTGGAACACTGGCCATCTAATGGCTCAACAGATAACAACACTGACCTATTTGTTTCCAGCATGTCCTCTTTATATCAATATTATGGCCACAAAGTGAATTATATATTCTACACTGACACTTTTTAATATTTTCATTTATGATCTTAAGTATATCATAAACCATTCAATGCTCCACAGACAAGAACCATTATCCATGTTAGAAAATCAGCTCTTTATTTGACCTTTGCAAAATTCTGCCTCAGCTCTTTAGTCACAATAAGAAAATATTCGATGAGTAAAGATGATGTAGTCTGACTGCATAGACTGTTGTTTAATTAAATGCTCCAGTCAAAGGCAAATGGGGTATGAATGAGTTGCTTTCAGCATTTAATTTTGCTTACTGGATAACTAATTATGTACTAACACAAAGCTTATTATATTCAGAAAGAATGAAACACTATGAGTATACTACCAACAGAAACACATACTAATAGCAAAATCATGAAAAAGCTGTAAGTTTCATCTCATTTTTCAAGTGGTTCAGACTTAATGATTAAATAGGTTTTAAAATTGCCTTTGGCATGTAGTCAAGAACACTTTCAAGTTACGGTTCAGGTGAAAATTACATTCAGAAGACGGGCAGAACTTGTTGACTAAGCTTGGATGGAGACATGCACTAGTTGTAATGTGTTCTGCTTTGCTAAAAGTAATCAAGTCATCACTCAGTCTGCCTTTCACTGTTAGAACTGTCATCCTCAGATACATATGGTGCTCTAACTGTAATTTCCTCAGATTAAAGGGACTGTATGACTGACGTCAACCCTGTCCTTTGCAAAACTTATCTTTTACCTGCAACGTATGGCTTGGAGGATTATCGGCTATAAAAAAAATGTATGCAACTGTACATTACAGTTGAGGAACTGTATATTACAGTTGATGGAATTCTGTATAGAAACTCCCGAACAATATATCCCAACTAAGTTGCAACTAATCCTGGCATTTGGCAGTTGGCTTGTCTGCCAAGTTGCAGTCCATTTCAATCTTTGCTGGTCACTTAGAAATGGTGTATTCATTTTCACCAGCTTATACTTCAATCCCCTGTAAAGTGATTCCTTGGACCATGACATGCATGCACTAGAAAGACTCAACTATTGGAGCGTGTGAAGAAGGCCTAGGAAAAAAATGTTGTTTCCTGTTTCAGTCGTGATTAGGGTTGGCAGGTAGGTATTTTATCTTCTTTCTTTTTTGTTTTATTAGACTTTGGCAACCTCTAGTGACCCAAGTTATACAACACAATTTGACAAAGTAAAACTAACATGAGAACAGTTATATTTTCAATGTCAATGTTGAAAAACTGATTGTACAATGTTGCATCACTTAAGTGTCAGATCATAGAGCTAGAAATTGTCTACCAGCGTGAAAACTTCATGTCCCTTACACCTTCATCTAAAAAAAAGGCTAGGGTTGGCAGTTGGGAAACAGGAAACACAACTTCCTTTTTCATAGGCCTAAAGTGCTAAAGTTTCTAAGCCTTTGCCAAACAAGGTTTCTAAATTATCAGCCAAGTTTGTAAGAACTTACTGCACATGATTTATGGCCTGGAAGGTGAGATCTAACAAGCTGTGTGGACTGGCAGCCAGCCAGTTGGACCTGTGCTGTTGCATTTAAGATAAAACCTACAGATAAAAACTACAGATAGCAATATGCTATTGGGCTTTCCTGTTGAAAATTATAATTACCTTGGCTTAGGATAATGGATGTGTGGCGTCGAATGGCCAAGTGTTAAGACTAGTAGACAAAAGACCAAGAGGTCATGTGTTTGATTCCTGGCATTCCTGGTAAGATGTTGTGTTGTTAATTGGGAAATAAAACACTTTAACACGACTTTCATCACTCCACCTGAGTGTAAAATGGGTACCTGGATTGTGATAGAAGGATAGACTCTACTATGTATCCTAGACAAAGTACCCTAAACCCACTGGTTCTTTGGGCTGATAAAGGCTATGGTACCTCTAACTACCCTTTTTTTAGAGTAACGGATCAATGCCTGAAAGTCAACACATTTGTGGGAATGTCTGTTCATAATCCATATAATGTTATATCATGAAGTCAGCACATCCTTACTTGGTGAAATTGGAAAAGCTTTTGAGCCTAGCTGAGATTGAATGGGATTATCAGCCGAATTCAATGTTTTCCCATACGTACTTTGCATAATTGTACAGTGAAAAAAAATGTAGCCAGAGTGATGAAAGAAGCTTGCAGT